AGAGAGGTATGAGGAAAATGTATTTAGATGTGTGTGATTAGTTGGTAGTGGACTTTTGCATTCCGTGGAGTACGGTCAGTTAAGTTGGGTAACGTTAGTGTTACATCGACTTTTTTTTAAAACCAAGGAAATGAAAAAATTGTAACCCATTATACGAATACATATTATATGAAAGATGGTATGATTTTATTTCTATAGGGCGAGTGTAAGAGCACCCTTTTTTGCAACTTTTTTATTTTAGCATTTATTTTGTTGTATGCATATCATATTTGTAACCCTGTATATCCAAAAAAAGACAGAAAAGATCAACAACAAGAGATTGTAGATGTTTGCATGTCATGAAAAGGAAAGTCGGCCAACACGCATGCTCTTTGATATATACTGTTATAGAACCTACAACTTAGTTTATCTTAAATATAGCCTAAAATAAAAGTTGAATCATTGACTAACATGTTACAAACAAGAAACAATGAAAATACATTTTATATTTATCTGTCTGTAATAGATCATTTGTTTTAGCTGTTACTAAACAAAGTGTTACTAGTAACAGCCCTAATGGTCGTTTTTTAAAGTGGAAGCGTTTCGGATCTTCTAGTCACACCAGATTATCGCCCCGAAAATGCCAAACGACTTCAAAAGCCCGACCAGAATTCTTGTCTTAACGTATCGGTTGACTGTTATTATTAATTAACGTATTCTGCTTCAACCATGTGCTGTGTTTCGGCGTCAAAGATTATCCGAGATGAAATGAGCTACTGAAGTGTTTTCTATGAGAATTTGTCACAGCTGTTCCAAGATGGTTCTGGATTTAGTTCAGATGACACTATCCTCCGACTGCGAGCAGATCTGATAGTAACTGTGAGCAAGTAACTATCTTGTATTAGTTTCACACTACCACTAGATAATGGTTCATCTACTCATCAGAATATATCCATATTCTTATTGAGAACAACTTTCCTAAGCCGCAAATAAGTTCAATTCGTGTCAATAATATATAATTCTGTGATGAGTGGCTTATGCCCTTCTTGACCAATTAAATTTATCGATGTGATTTGTGACCTTCTTCAGTCTTCAGGTACACTCATGACCTTTTCGAAATAGATAACGCATCGGACACAGTCATAATAGAAAAACAGAACTTTTACGCATTTAGCTGCATATCTGCTACGAAAAAGAACATTGTGCTGTTTCAAGTCTAACAATGAATATCCAAATTATATGTTTATAAAGCAAACCATTTTAAAATTACGCTTGGAATACATTTTTTTCAAGAAGATATCAAGTCATAGTATTTTCAAAAATGAATTTATTTTACGAAAATATGACATATTTTTTCGATTCTGTTGTTACTATTTGTTCCTCAAAACGTATACCTATTGTAACATTTCATTCGAAATTAAGCAAAAAACGTGATTTCAAGATTTACATGAAAGATTTCTCGAAATAAATCTACTGTGGCTTAGATACCTTATTCCTCAATGCTCTACATTTTTAACATCGGCAATTTGATAATCACTATTAACGAAACATACATTTATATGTGTATTTTATAGTCCTCTAATTCTAATGTAGAACAGACAGACATTTGGAAATGTTACTTGAATAAGACGTTTCAGGCGGGAAGAATATTAAGGATATCTTGAATGCGTACATATAACATAACAAGGTTCAAATGGAATTAGTTTAATGGCTTATTAATGCAAACGGAGCGAACAAATAAACGTTCGTTTTTAGAGATAAGGAAAGTCGAAATATGGTGAATGTGTATACTACTCGTAAAGTACAGGTACAAACATGCGTTAATGTATTCCACCCGAAGATAGCCAATTAAGATAGGCACTAGAGAAGCGACATAATGGCAATCAAAATGTATTGCCCAGCAGAACAATCCAATTAGAGTACAACTTAAAACCATAAATGAAGCAGATATGCCAAATGTATTACTAAAGCTAATTAATATAAGTAACCAGAAGAAAAAAGAGAATGAAAATAGATGGAGTTTCCAGTATTTACACATTGAGAACTAACTAAAAAATAAAGACATTACATAATAATATTTTCAAGAGTACAAATCAATGCGATGCGGAAGTGAAGACATATAACAATAAACCTCGGCGAGGGCGGATAGAACATCACTAAAAAATCAATATGTATGTCATATTTAATAGATACCACCACAAAGACTAGAGATATTAAACTGCGTAAGGGATACATGTAACCGTATGAAGCCAATCCTATCACCAAGGCTGGTGTGACTCTTGGAAATATAGTAGAAATAGAATATGGCGTAGAGCATATGCGCATTGAAAAATGTTAATATAGCCTGCGGCAACCTTTATGTGCCTACAGTTTTTTAAAGTCGACGCAAAAAACTAATGCAAATAATGCCATATAATTATCTGATTCCCAAAGTTTTCCACTTCACTCACGTTTTGCTATGCTTTGTAGGTTTATTACTTCGTGGTTCATTAAAATCCAATAGTTCTACTGCACATGCGCAGAACCTAAAATTAATTTCCTGTGCATACAAAAGTACTCAGTGTACTAACTTACTTTTTCGTCAACACTTTTGGCTTCACCCCCACTGTTTGAGTTTAACCTTCTATCTCTAGTCTTCGTGGATACAACATTGAAATTTTCTACAGTTAGATGCAATGAGTTGATCTTTAAGTTGATATTCCGCCTCCTCAGTCAGAAAAAAAGAGATGAGCCTAATGCAACTGGGGGAACATTTGAAACAGTAAATCGGAACAAACCGTGAAACCATGAAGGAGCTGTAGAGAGTTGATTCTTCTCAACCCCAAGCAATCCATGTTGAACTAACTACATAAAATTTCTTTATTTTACAACTTCTAAAAATAAATACTTAAGGAAACCGCAATGCATCCTCTCTAGGATCTACTTTTGGTATATGTCATAAGACATTCGAACAAATGAACAATATTCTAACCTAGACCTAACAGACGGAACTATAGTGTTTTTAAGGCTTCAACACTGGTGAAAATTTGCAATTTTATATTATGAATCCCGAACATTCTTGCAGCTTTATTAACTTTTTGCTGTATACGGTCCTTGAAGCTGACACGTGTGTCAAACCATACACCAAAGTACTTGTCTAGGCATTTCCTCTTTAAAGCAACTCCATTAATTTTGTATTCAAAGCGTTTCCTAACACTATATATGAGACAGCAGCAGAACCAAATACTCATTTCAAAGTACATTTCCAAATTTTTTTGTTCTCCTACTGACTTGTATATGGAGCTAGCATCTTTCAGGTACCTTTTTGGGCGCCGAAATACAGTATTTGGTTTACCATCTTCAGATAGAAGCATATGTAAATTATTGGTACTAATAAAAACATGTGATGATAAGGCAAGGTGAAGGTGTTAGAGATATTTATGGTTCTCAGTTCTCAATACAAATCATTTATTATTCGAAAAAATGTATTTCCATTTTCACGCAGAGTGCAAAGAAGCATATATGTGCTGAAACTAAAAGAGAAATAGAAACTAATGATCTGAGTGACTGCTCAAGTTTCAAATATTGATTACAAAAGATGTAAGATCACGCTTCTTTTCTTAAATAGATGATCAACTAGATGTGAATGCTAAAAACCGGTAAAAATATATGTAGTACCTTCCCGCCCCAAACAATAAAATGTTGTTATCTTAACCGATTCTTCATTTCAGGTATAGCTTTTTGAATGTCATACAAGGTGTTCCCAAAACATGGGCCGAAAATTTGAGAAGTTATCTTTTGGACTATTCTAAGGCTATTTTGCCCTTTTATCATTTTATAAATGCCGCTTTGTTTCGAAAATACAGGACACCGCAAAATCCACTTCTTTACTTCGCGCGGTACGGATTAGCGCTAATGTAACATTGCTGATTTGTCACACCCTGTATCACGATTTCTCATAAGTAATATTTTTATTAGTTAAGCCTGGTCCTGAATCTGAAAAAATCAAATCAAATCTTCTTGTGTACGATCTGCTGGACATTTCTCAAAACGCAAAGAAAATAATCCGTCCCATTGGAGTAGCAGTCCAGTAAGAAACCAAGATCGTAGCAAAAGCAAGAGTACTACTATATCGAAGAACTATGCTCACGCACATATTCGATGTTTCTTTGTTTACTTAGTATAGACTAATGTAAAAGAAGATTTTCAAATGGTGTGCAACCGTCAAATTCAGATGACCAAACTAGTTGTCAAAAAAGTTTCACCCAAATCCATGCGTAAAACTAAATTAGTTAACTATTTACAGCCATCTACAAACATCAGAAATTCGTTGCCAGAACGGGGCTATTGTAATTTTGATAAATGGTTCATAATCAGGGAACTCAAACATTCTTAGATATCAATACTCACATCTTTATCAAGTTTTAGGCCGTTGTCCTACTTTTTGAGATTATGGTATTTTTCTATAAACTTCCCAACCCATTTTTCCCAACAAATAAATATATTTTTCCTACTGACAATTTTTTTAATGTGTTCCAATTTGTCTAATACCAATGACCCAAACCTTCTAAGTCCAAATCGTTAAAAGATTACGATCAATTTTGAGTTTTTATATGAGTTTTCACATGATACACTAGGTAGGTTTCAATGGCGAGGAGACCATAACCTACTGTATCACTTGAATTGGTGGCATCTAGTGGTCATGATGATGAATCGGGAGTCGATGCGAACTGAAATACCTTACGGATCCAATAGATAGCTGCAGTTGATTCTCGCAGTTATTAATTCTCATATAATAGATGGCAGTTTGTGCTGTCGTATTTCGATAGACCTTATGCATCAGATAGAGGATACTTCGCTCTGATTCCGTTCTTTTCCTACCTAGAAAGCGCCTAGACCGTGCTAATGATTATCAATAAGCATGAAACATCTGTACACGATTGGCCCTGTGGCCGGACTGACGAAGGCAGTATTATTGATATATTAACTAGGTGCTTATCAGTATCCCTGCAAGCATTCGTAGTATGCAATCATTGTCTCACCTGGTAAGTACCCTAAAGGCCAAGTGAACCATTCCAATACATAGATACCTCCATCCAAACCTTTTCCACATCAAATGATATATTGACGGATGCTTGGTTTCTCGCTTGTTCTCCAGTATCCATTGCCGTTCTATTTTGTCTCCACATCTTTTCGAGCCAATTTTTCTGAGCACCTCGTATAGGTCTTTTTCTTCCAAGTCATTCTTCAATGCTTTCCTGAATAATCCTCTTGTGTATCTGTAAATTTTGCATTGCGTTTTTGCTAAAGGTAAATGCGTCAGATACACTCATAGATAACTTTTATTTGAAATTACAAAACGGTATAAACCTTTGTATAAAACAATTAAAAATTAATCACTGGACCAACTCCAAAATGTACCATCGATGACCACTGTACAGTCAAAATGCGCAATTTGACTTTGCACACTTCCAGTATCATATTATTTAGAACAGATTCTGAAAAATTTAGTGCTGATACTACCCTTAATTTTGTACGAGATTTAGCGTGGGGTGACTAAATCCATTCGCAATTTTAAATAATGTTTGGTCAATTTCAATCACCCCCCGTGAGAATATGGTAAACCTCATTACGTTTAATTAGAAAGTATTAGAACTGATTAAATTTGTGTTGTGCTCAGAACCCATTGTTCGCAAACTTGTTTATTTTTTTGGAAAACTGAAGATACGCCAATTCGAAATGTCTTTGCTTTTCTTATTTGAACAACCCACCACTGTAAAGTACACCATAGTTACATTTTTAATCCACACTGTTTTTTAATTATATTTTACACCGTATAACAAACTAACGAAACTTGTCACAAATTACCTCTATGGAGAATTTTGGCACGCAGTGACATCACGCGTGCGATAGAGATAGATTGATCGCATGCGCGTGGGTTTATCTTCTCGAGTAATACTATCATGGCGACAGACGGCCTTTACGCTAACTGAAGTTAGGGATGTTGTGTTAATTATCGATTAATATGTTGAGATTAATCGATAATTTTCTCAATAATCGACTTTCTTAATCATGATAATATAATTTTTAAATGTGGGTCACACAAACTACCAATTTTAATCGATTTTTGTAATCAGTGCCATCAGTACGACAGATGCAAAAACTCGAAGTACATACTTCACGAACACGAACAAGTAGATAAAATATGTGCAAGGAGATTAACAGTTTTATACATATTTATACAGTTTTCTTTCTTTGAGTAGTGTGAACAATGGTTCTTGGTTAAAAGTATAAAGGCCTTCCAAAGGTAAAGCGCCTAAAATCGGTCGAAGGGTAATACCGCAGCCACTTGCAAGTATACATATAATAGGTACCTTTTATATTCCATCCCCATCGGCGGATCCAGCCCCTATGGGCGAATCAAGAATATGTTTTAGACTTCCCCCCCCCACGTCACAATTGTCAATAGCCAATAACCCCCTCCCCTCCCTCCCGAGACGGACATCCCGCGAAACATGAATCTATAAAATTTAAAACCAAAAGGTTGTCGTTTTGGTTATTTTTGTACTCATAATTTTATTCGATTTTCATTCTGATAATTATTAAGGTAGATATCTTCCTTTTACTATAGCTATATAGAAAAACATGTTTTCTAAAATCCATTTTTGACAAATCGATTTAAAAAAAAATCGATTTTCCGTTAATCAATCTTTTTACTCATTGTCACATTCCTGCCTGAATATACTTACACAAAGGTGAGCAGCGATAGGATGTTAGCCCTCTCCCTGGGGTTCTGTTTCCGTTTCTCTTTTTCACAGTGATCCATCGCGGAACATCGTCACTGTGACCGTCGCATCAACGCTGATCTCTTTCTTGGACCCACTCACAAGACAGACTGATCCATCGCCATTCAATTATGATATCTAATCGAGAATAAATAAAGACTTAACACTTGTTCCCATTGTTTAACATCACACCATGTCAACATTTCTTACCTAAAATAAATCATTTCAAAGTATCTCGTAATGCGTCTACAGAAGGTAATATACAGGGTGGACTATTTATTATGTGGCCCTAGGGTCTGTTAGTGCATGTAGGGTGGTCCATTTATATGTGGAACTTGTTAATCTGATTTTTGAACAGCCTAAGGTTGGCACAACTTGGAAAAACCTTCTCAGGCTGAATGTTCCACAATTTTGACACTCTAGGAACGATTGAGCGGACGTACTGGCCAGTGCTCAATGTACGAAGATCGATAGTCTTTAAGTGGGAAGCAGAAGACTGGCGCGTCCGCCAGGCATCACGAAGGAGAGCTCTGGAGAGCAAATCCGGTTGACATAGCGGTAGAAAATAGAAAGATCGAACCGAGCTTTTTACTAGCAGTTTTTGCGCTTGGCGAGGCGTGACCGTACCAAATCAAGTCTTCGGTTATCTGAATTTCGACCAGCTGAAATGCGATTTTTATATTTTGGAAGCATTAAGCTGTAAAGAATGCCATACTGAATTACTGCGTATAGTGCTGTCGTCGGCCAAGCTGTGGATGGGATTGATCGTGCAGGACAGGAGATCGTTGACATCTAATACAGGGTGGACCATAAGAGTGTTGGCGATTTAAATCTCAAATTTCTTGGAAACGCGGGGCGCGGGTTGGGGGGGCGATGAGCTGTTAGCCGCGCCATTGCCTGGAAATTTAGTCGCCATGGAGCCTTATACAGGAGTGCAGTGTGCATTTTGGGTCCGAGCATATTATGAAAACTATAGATCGGTTATTACTGCACGACGTTTGTATCGACATGAACACGGTTTACGCGATTTAAGAGAAGTTCCAGGCGCCAATGTGATACGGAAATGGATCAGACTGTTCGAAACGACAGTAGCAATAACAGCTCGTAGTCGTCCAGTTTCTGCAAGATCAGCGGACAATGTAGAGCGTGTTTCAGTTCAGCGAAATCCGCAACACTCAACACGTAAGAGATGTCAGGCGTTGGACAACAAAAGAACGAGCTTGCGGCAAATTTTGAATCGTGATTTGTATTTGAAGGCTTATAAGATTCAACTAGCCCAAGAATTAAAACCAGATGATGCCAATAACCGACTTAACTTTGTCAATTTGATGTTCGACCGATACAACAATTTTAACAACGTGATGTTTAGTGATGAAATCTCCGACGCTTGCATGAACGTCCACTTTACAGCCCTAAACCAGTCGTGTGGGCTGGAATTACGTCAACCGGTATTATTGGACCGTACTTTTTTGAGGACGAAAGAGAGTAAGCGATGACAGTTAAAGCTAACAGTTATTGCAATATGACAGACTTTTGGTGCTAGCTTTGCAAGAACTCCAAGGCAATACCTCTAGAATGTGGTTTCAACAAGATGAGGCCACATGTCATACAGCTAGGGTATCTATAAAGCTGCTGAAAAATATCTTTCCAGGAAAACTCATTTCGAAAAGGGGGGATATTGAATGGCCACCATGTAGCCCCCATCTTTCTCCATGCGATTATTTTCTGTGGAGCTACCTCAAATCAGTCGTCTACGAGAATAATCCAACTAACTTAGAGCAGCTGAAGAGCAATATTGTTCAGGAAAGTAACAAAATACCGAGAACAACTTTTCAACGAGTCTTAAAAATTCCTATCTTTCTACTTTTTAAAAATACATTTATTTTACTTTCATATTGCGTAGTTATTTTTTAATTGAATATTGAAATTGTCAACAGCTTTATGACCCACCCTGTAGAAAGAATCTTGGAGCCAAGACCGATCGTTGAGAAACACCAGCGTTAATATTGTAGGGCGAAGACGACAAACCGTAAATTACTACGTTTATGTTGCGGAGAAATTAAGACATCTACAATCTTTCTCTGGGATGTGATAGGATGGCAGGTTGCGTAAAGGGGCACCGTATTACAGCTTATCGAAAACTGTTGTAATAGGTGTGTGTCAGTTGTGTGACGTTAGTTACCTAATGATACCATTGCTTCGCTTCAAATGTGTGAGCAGCTAAAAAGTCTCATTGTTTGACAGGATTCAACAAAACGACCTTTATTGATGATCATGTTTTTACGCCGAAGCGTAGACACAATCCCAAATACCGAGTCATCGATCAGTCGGACAGCCCCCCATCTGAACATCATCTAGCATGCATGATTTAGTCGAGGCCGCAGCACCCCAAACATGTGAGCAGTACTCGAGGCTAGCTACGTTTTGTATAGAGTGAGGAAGTTATGTGGAAAAAAGATCTTCCTAGCCCTAAACTAATAGCCTAGCTCTTTTCATAGCAGCTGACGATATTGACGAGATGTGTTCATGCCAGATCAAGTCCTCGGTTATCTGGACTCCAACCAAACCTTATTATAATGAAGCGTGATTGAGTTTACATTTTTATGTACCTGGAGAGTCGCAACAGCAAAGGCTGAATACCGATGTGCTAAAGGTTATGGAAGGTAAAGACATTTGTCCACCTTACATGTTCTAGTACTTTTGTCTAAGTCTGAACAACCCGGAGATCAAAAATAGTACGCCACTGTTAAGAATACTTTATAAATTATTTTTAGATACGATTATAAATATTCCACTATAATATACTCAGCGACAAAGAAAACAAAACACCCACTTGCAATGGTTTGGTTTGAATGAAATAATTTCATACAATAGTGAAAAGATTTGCTGTATCGCTGTATTTCTCTATATGTATGTGCCCCGGCTCTAGATTGACCCACTCTTCCTCCAACTTTTTCATATGATCTTCTAGAAGGAGAAGTTGTGTATAAAAGTTATAAAATCTAATATGAAGTTTTTCGTGTAATCTTTTTTTGTAAACAGAAGGTGTGCCATTGAATAAGGTTGTATTTTTTAAATGTATACTTTCAGTGAAAACGATAGTCCGTTTTTATCTGATTCCAAATATACATGGCTTATTAAGCTTATTTTTATTACTTTAGTCAAAAACTTGAAGTTGAAGTGTGTCATTTAATCATATGGAACTATGGAACTATACCAGTTTGCATAGTCGGCCAGAGGCAAACCAAACTGGTGTGAACTCTAATACACAACAGTAAATGGCACACAAAATTAAAGTTTTTGGCCAAACTAAAGAAAATTAGTATGATAAATCAGAGAAAACAGACTATGATTTTCCCTAAAAATATACAGATTTTTTCATTTAAGAAATATAACAACTTTGTCCGATAGCACTTTTCTGAGGAAACCCTGTCAAAAAAATATTACACGAAAAACTTCATACTAAATCTTATAACTTTTATATAAAACTTTTTTTCTGGAAGGTCATATAAAAACGTTAGAGGGCGTAATTTATAGAAGTTATTGGAGCGTGCTTCCAATCGCATGAAATATCTTACTGAGGTTTCTCATCCCAAGCTCGATAAAGAGGTCACTCTTTTTCCCATTAAATCTATTACATGTGGGCATACAGTCTATACATTTAGGAGGGCAAGGGAAGAGGATAATCTGAGCGTTTTGCAGTAGTTCTCTGTAGCTCTAGCAATATGGGGATGGACATTACATTGATGGAAAACAGAGTTTTCAAAGAATGGCAAATTATGAGGATACAATTTATCCTGGATATATGATTGCGACGTCATACCTCTTCTAATAGAATCTCGAGGTAACTTAGCACCATATGTAATGGCGCTCCATGCCATAACTCCTATAGTATGGCGCATGTGATGTTCACTCATTAAGTCTTTCTCCGCGTCACCTTCTGGTTCGTGCCCGTCTATCATGCATTCCTAAACAGAACAAAGAGTCATCACTGAAAACAATGTTATACTTTGCATCATCTTAATGTCTGTAGTCTGAGTTCTGTTTGGGAGTACACGATGGCATGCACGTGTCAGAAAACGCCGAGGAGGAATACATAATATTAAGCTGCACGCCACGTGCGCTATATTACGCCATATCGTCTTGACGCTATTTCATATGGTGGTAAGGCATCTCTAGTTCCATTAGAGGCGCCATGAAGGCGCAACGAATCTAGAAAATACTAGACCCTCATTTATCCACTCCTCCAAACGCTTGAAAGCCTAGAACAATCACTGAAACTACAATGAATTGGATTAATTACGTTCAATTCAATCTTCTTCATTGTACAAATATTTTGTCCTACTGAACATGTATGAGATATGATTGAAGGAATAGTAACTTCTTTACCCCATCCTCCACAAACACTAGCAGCTCCTCGAAACCAAGTACAACTAGATTGAAATGAAATACCTCATTTAGTCGTATATGTATAACCTCCACAGAAGCATGTCTCGATGACTGGATGAATGTATACGGTATTGGGACATCCCAACACGTTATTATGGAAAACTATACATATATATATAGCTATATAGCAAATATTTCAACTCCAAAGTTTAATTACGACTTCCTCTTACGTCTAGATGCATATAAAATTTCGATCATATAAAATCATTTTTACTGGGTCTACTATTTTCGTTGTCACCGAGTATAATTCTATTGCATCCAACCTTTTTGTAAAGTCAGAGGAAAAGTATACATCACAATTTGTAAAAATATCTTCCAAAATCCTTACGAAAATAATCTCGATGTCATGTGGATTAACTATTTCCTATGCGTTCTATTTGAACATGAAAACATTCAATGAAATAGTTTATAATTTGTTGCCAATACTCTCAAAAACAACTTGCAAAAAGCCAAAATTAGCTTTGGCTAACTAAGGTGGTTGATCATCCCAACAAAGTTTATTTTTCCCTTATTTACTGGATAAATTAGACAAACAAAGTATGAGGTAACAATTTGTTTTATTATGTAACAACATTTTTTTGTTGCAGAGTTAATCAGTGTTTAGTGAATTTAAGTTTTAATTTAATCCTTCGGAAGGAATTGCAAGGAACAAAGCTCCATACAATGCCAGAATAATAGATCAGTCGCTTAACTTAATATAAACGTTGTGATCAAAATAACTGTGTATATTACTTAATCTACATAAAAAAGTCTTTCATTAA